GAGACTCTACCCTCATCCAATCTTCCCAATTAGGGGCCTGTAAAAGGGGCTTAAAGCCCTGGCACAGATTTCTCCCCTCCCCTTCAACTCTACATAGATCAGAAAGAGTAGAATGGGTGAGTCAGACTCTCCCATCTAGTAGAAGTACGGGGAGGTCAAGAAGCCAAGCACCATCGCCCTCCTGTCAAAGAAGGGCTTTGACAGTCCTGATGGGGTAGAGGTGAGGAGATGTCTACTTCTGGCTCTAGCAAGGAGCATTAGTTTAGCTCTTTTTAGCTCTCAGCATTGTTCTGGACCACTAGCTTTGCTAGAGAGATCATTTCCTGCTTACCCCCTCAAACTTGTACATTTTCCAGGTGGTCCCTGCTGCCCCAGGCTGGTACTTCAACCATCCTGAACCAGCTCTTGTGGGTCCCAGGTTCTGGACCCCAGCCCCAGGAGGACAAAGGGGTTACCAGACCCTAGCCTCTCAATTGGCCTTGCTCAGTCTGTAGTCTTCCGCTGGCTCCCGGCTCTCGACAGCTGACAGGGCAATGAGCATCTGGGCAGCATAATAGGTGGACATGATGAGTGCCCGTGAGTAGGGAATGGGGAAGCAGAACTTGTTGAGGGCGATGGCCATGTCTGAGACGATAAAGAGCAGTGCACCACCACTTGCTGCCAGCTCAGTCCAGCGCCAGGCTGCCCCAACCAGCCGTAGCCCTGCCATAGCCCGCCAGCCCATGAAGCTGATAAGGGCCACGTAGACCCCCACCAAGTAGGTGAAGGCACCTGAGAGGCCCGGGTAGACATAGGCATAGAACAGGCCCGACAGCACTGTCATCACCAGACCTGTCCGAAGAGCCAGTGGCCGCATGCCAAAGGCCGATGCGTAGAACATGTGAGTCACGGCAAACATCAGTAGACCTGGGAGTGAGAGAATGAGGGGATGCTGAGGGCAGGCTCAGGTGAGTAACGCCTAATGGGGTGGGAGTAGGAGTGGAGTGCTTGGGATAACCCAGGAGCTTCGTTTGGGGAGTAACAGGAGTGAGAAGAAATCCACATAGGTAAAGACACCCCCCTCCACTACCCTGAAGAACTCCAGAACTGATCACCAGATCACCTGCAAGGTCATCTTCGAACAGGGCCCCCACAGTTCTTGGTTTCAGAACCCCTCAGATCCCCACATTCTTGTTCAAAAGCTCCCAAATCCTTGGCTCCTAACACCCTCTAGCCCCCAACCCTAGGATTCCTCCCAGGTAGCGACTACAGCAACTGACCGTGCACAAAGTAGCCCTGGTCCTGCCAGATGAGGAAGGCATCACCCAGGGTGGAGAAGACGAGCCCCACAAAGATGCGAATGGCACTGGGGTGGGCAAGCAGGAATCCTAGGCCATGGGCCAGAAGGAAGAGCCAGAGGCAGAAGATGGGCAGGCACTTGATGAGGGCGCTGACCCACGATGGGCTGGACGAGGGCAGCCAGAGCACAAAATAGACACAGGTGGCCTTGAAGAAGGGCACCAGCTTGGGTCCCTCACTCTTCACCTGGAGGACATAGGACAAGGGCAGCACTCAGAGTTTGGGAGTTCAGAGCCCATAAGAGAGCTCAGGGCCAGCACCCTCAGCCCAGTCATCCACCCCAGGGATGGGCCCACCTCCCAGGTGGGGAGGACTGACACACACAAACCAGTTTGGTCTGCCCCAACCAGCCAGCAGAATGTGAACAAGCCCATCACCACCCAGAGGCTTAATTAATTAGGAAGAGG